ATTTATTGTAATAAAAGAATCACGGGTTAAAATTAGTGTCATTGTCATAGCATATTAAAGTTATTGTGTTTTTTCTCAAAATATATTTGGAGGCAGTTTGAATGTAGGCGACGGTGAAGACTTTATTTCTGATCAACTTTGTAGAGATGTAAACACAATGACAAATCAAATTGTTTAAAATAAAGCGGTAGTTTACCTCCGCCACGTTGGGTTCCTATATTTTTCTTGCCTGACTTGCGAAATTGCGGAATGGGTTATCTATCAAAGTTTTCTCTAGAGACTTTTTAGAAGTTTTCTTAGGGGTCGGCTACGTGTACGTGACATTCCTGGTGTTTCAGGCGTCCATAGGCTACGGTAACCATTTACCATGACATGGGCCTTATGCCTGATTGTTGATTCATGGTATAATAAAATGGGAGAATGAAATTGCTAGTAATTAAGTCTATTGACCTCATGCCAGCAATGTACCATGAGACGCGGTGGTTATTATAAAGCGAATCGTAAGTTTATTGCTAGGGGGATAGGGGATGGTTAGGAATGGCAACATTGACCCACTAGACGATAATGAAGCGTGAAGTCAGGTTAATAAGCCCATCGTGGCAAATTCACAAGGAATTTAATAAGATGGTTTACAGAACGGTATATTGCTAGCAATGCGATGATTAATCCACATTACTAACAATCCCCTTCATCTCAAAGTTGTGTAAATTATTATTATTACATTTGATAATAAATATATATTTTTATATATTTAAAGATAGTAATATTACTATCTTCAATTCCTTCACTCAAATTCATATTACGAGAGAATGGTTTTGGTTTCAGATTTTCATTATTACTATATATATATACTATATATACTAAATATCCTCATGACTAAAATTACAGGTGGGGTTAGTCGGAGGGGTTATCGCCTGTCGACGTTATTGTGACTGCAACACTGGACAATTTGCTGCGCATTTGTATAGGACTTGATTGGTTTCCTTGGTAGCCAACAAGACTACTGTTTTTATTACCAGACTTATCTTTTCTTTTTTAATTGATTCGAACTATTCTAATGTTTTTGGTCAGAGCACAGATCAGATAATATTACATAGACAGAGTAAGAAAGTATATATTTTTTTTTATACCACGTAGGTGGCAAACAAGCATACGGCCCATCTGATGGTAAACGGTTACCGTAGCCTATTTCAACTAACCATACACCCACACAGTTCCATATATGTATTTATCCAAAAAGTCGATTACTATGGTAAAAAGGGGTACCTAGGTAATGAGTTGATATACTCTTATATTTCTGTTAAAAATAGGGGTTGACGTAGAAGGGTAATATTTTAAGGTTGTATGTGTATAATTCCAAATCATAAAAATTATTGTCTAAGTAACAAAAAAAACCCTTATCACTAGGGATATCCTAGTGATAAGGGTGGTTAACCATATTAATAATCGTCTACGTCCTATTCCTAAACCTGCTAAATACATACACAAGCTTTCATAAGAATCGATCTAGTCGTTTCGGAAGAGTTTTGTTATAAACACTACGCGAGAATTTTTTACATTAGACTAGTTATCCGCCCCGGCTTATCACGAGTGTACATGTATTATATATATAAAACTTTCCGTCGAATAACTCTATCTATTTTTTTTTTATTTAATTATGTACAAGCTTTACACGTAAACAATTTATTTTCATAATTATCGCCAAACTGCTTGGCAGTTTGTTGGCGATTAAGAACACTCATTTTTACAATTGTACTTAAATTACAATTAAACTATAATATAGAACTCATACTACTGCATTTGGCAAATTGCATTAAAATCCGTTGCATAGTTTGACAGATCTAAACGAACAGACAGCGTAAGCGACTTCATTTTATATTCAAATCTTAATCTTATCTAACCTAATTGTACAACTAAGAACTAAAATAAAAAGCTTAAAAAAAAAAATAATATGATGACTAAAATATATTATTAAAAGGGGTCCCTTTAGGCAACGTTCCGAAGATACTGGCAGCGTTCCCTCTTTGATATCTTATTAATTATCTTATTAATATTATAAACGCGAAAGTTTGTGAATATGGATGGACGTTTGTTACACTTTCACGCAAAAACTACTGAACGGATTTTATTGAAACTTTACAGTAATATAGCTTATACATCAGAATAACATATAGGCTATAAATTTTATGCGGGTGAAAGCGCACAGTTAGTAAATAAATAAATGTATACATTTTCTGACGTGACACATACATTACTTTCAAAATATGTTTCCACAAATATTTTATTATATACTATGTAAAGATACAGAGTTTATACGTGTATTCTTACGTCACCTTGGATATTAGTATAAAACAAAGTTGCTGTCGCTGTCTGTCCGTCTCTATGTATGTTTAAATCTTTGAAACTACTCCACGGATTTTGAAGCGGTTTTTTTAATAGATAGAGTGATTTAAGATGAAGTTTTATATGTATAATACATGTACACCCGGGCGAAGCCGGAATGGATAGCTAGTATCTAATTTAATAAGAAGCAATATTATTACATAGTTACTCATTCACCTACATTTAAAATGCCTACGAAACAAAGTACTATCTACGGATATTGTATTATGCAAGTCCACTCGTGTTACCTTATTTATCGATGTAATCATAAACAAATATATACAACTGCATTTGTTGCACAGAATTGCATAATGGTTACATAAAGATCACACCAAGGTCATATTTAATTAACATTCCTACATTTCTTATCGATTTAGGTACTTTATAACGTTTTATATTTGCATTTATAAGTAAACTAGTTGACCGGCGAAATTTTATATGAGTCACACTTTATTCGTTTTTGCAATATTTTTCAAATGCTATTTGTTGTAGCGATGTTATATATGGTCCTAACTCCTATCCTATCCTATACAGTCTATGCCTCTATAATATTATACAACACTAAAATAATTTTAAAATGACATTAATATATATATTTACTAGCTACTCGCCGCGGCTTCGCACGAGTATGTTCGCACATGTATTATGTATATAAAACTTTCTCTTGAATCACTCTATCTACTAAAAAAAGTGCTTCAAAATCCGATGCGCAGCTGACAGCGACAGCGACTTTGTTTATAAAACAAAGTCGCTGTCGCTGTTTGATGTAGTGATGTTCATTACGTGCGACACCTACCCTTCTTCTTATCTTTATGTTACTTTCTCTACCCAAAGGTAGTTTGCAAGAGATATTAGAGATAAAATCGCCTTATGTATCGTATCAGTTTATGTAAACTCATTATTTAAATTATTTTTTGTATCTGGTCCAAAAAAAGAGTATAAACAAAACAATAGTTCGCGAGATTACCCCGTATAGTATAAACTTTTTTCTCTGCTACAAAAGTTAATAAATCATGTAACGAGAACGGATAAAATTATGTCAAATTATGAAAAATCAAATAGAGAAATATCAGCTCTGAATGGTTTGTAATTCTATATCTAAAAATAGTAGCAAAATCAATGATGTTTCGATATTTGTGTAAATAGCGCGGAATTAATAATGTATTAATTAGATGAAGTACAAAATTACGGAATATGAATATTCAAGAAAACAAAAAAAAACACTAGCCATATATAGACAATGAATACCTACTACTTATGCATACCCAAATTATTTCTTTGAGTTGATTCATGTAGCTGAAAATCTTGCAGTTTAAAAGGTTAATGTCTGTAAACGTTGTAATACAATTATTCAAATTTTCATTTATTTATTTTAAAACTAGCTGTGCTCGCGGTTTCACCCGTTTCAAATTTATAGCCTACTAGCTACTCGCCCCGGCTTCGCCCGGGTGTATATGTATTATATATATAAACCTAGCTCTTGAATCACTCTATCTATTAAAACAATTCGCTTCAAAATCCGTTGCGTAGTTTTAAAGATTTAAGCATACAAGACAGACAGACAGCGACAGCGACTTCGTTTTATACTATGTAATGTTATTCTGATTACGGGAAAGTTTCATCAAAATCCGTTCAGTAGTTTTTGCTTGAAAGAGTAATAAACATCCATCTAAACTCACAAATCAATAAAAAATTGTTAACAGTAATAAAGAAAAAAATATTTTACGACCGCACCTGAAAATGGTACTACAAAATATTTAATTTAAAAAAATTAACCTACTTAACAAAAAAATGATTAATAAGTATAGGTTTAGAAGAAATTACGTAATGATGACGTCTATAGGATATTATAATATTTTAATTCATTGCTAATGCTAACTGACTCGCCCTTGCTTCCCACGGAAACCTCCTGCGGTGAAATGAAATGGAGACGACATTTTACATTAGACTTTTAGCAATACACTTGATAAAAATTACAATCCCAGTTTTATATGCGTGTTGCAATATTCTGACAGTCAATAATAAAAAAAAATATGATTTGGCTTGTATTGTATTAATAAAAGTCCCTGTTTTTTTAACATATACACACGATTTTTTATTTGATGATAAGGGAATGGTGCATCTGTCTGCGCTAACGGTTTACGCTGCCGGGGCACCAGTGGCGGCTGATAATATAATAATAATAATAAACTTTATTGGCTAATAAAACACTTTTACATTTAATACACATTACGGCGAATATGAACATGAGGTCATGTCAGTTAGTCCATTGTGGCAAATCCAGGAAACTATCACGAATGTTTCCAGGGGGCTAGCATGACAGGTTGACATAGCGTAGCGTGACGGGTTGGTACCCGTGGGAGTTCAACCTGATATGTTAGCAATGGGTTCATTAATCCACATAACTAACTTCCCCTTCCCCCTCTATGGACGATAGTTACCACTTAACATTAGGCCTGTTTGTCACACCCCTGTCGTTTGAGGTGTCCATAAGCTACGATAACCGTTACCAACAGATAGGCCGTATGCTTGGTATTCACTATAGTTGTATAAAAAAAATATAAACAATTTGGTGCTGTATGAAGTCTTAAGGTTTATTTATTTTTATTTGTTCACAGAAACCCAGTTACCCCTCAACATGTTAGGGGGTAGCGTGCTGTGGTTCAGACACGGGTTGCGGTTACACGACAACCCGTCACTGCACGATGCTATTGAAGACAGATCCGCGCCATTCTTTCCAATCTTCATCTTCGATGGAGAAACTGCTGGTAAATTATTAGATAATTTATTAAATTAAAATCTTGATCTTGGCCTGTCTAGAACTGCAGTTAATTATATACTAGAGTGTATATCTAAAGCAGCTCCTACGAGATTGAGCTAGGCAGGGAGAGAAATAGCTCTGGTGACGGTGAGTATTGATAAGCATGTATGCAAAGTAGTAACCGCACGGTGGATCCATGTAATGTTAAGAATTTCCTTTCTTAGAGTACATGTTTCTTGTAAATAAAAGTATTGTTTATACAAATAAACATAATACGAGTACTTTGAATAGTCATATATATATTTTTTATTATACCTACCAATCACTTGGAAAATGTCATTTTATGTTAAAAAATATTAAAGAATTGTTAAAACAAATAACACACCAATTACCTACTTTTGCTATCTCATGGAATTCTCTATAGAAGAGCTAAACAACCTCGTTTACAATTCTATGATAAGAACAAGAGAAGATTGTAGAATATTTAAAAAAAAAACTATACCTATTTATAATTGGGCCGAAATTACTTATCGGCAGCATTGCCCTCGCATTTTAAGTTATCAGATATTGTAAACAAATCATTTGTTATATACAATTATTAGTAAATATTTATATAGTAGTGATCAGGTTTGCCCTATGAATATATATCAATATACTAATACATGGAGCAAAAACTATGTACCCCATTATACGAAAATTGCGCGGACGGAGAAATATGAAAAAACTAGAATAGTTTATACAGTTTTACAGCCTCGGTGGTCTAGTGGTTTAGCACACCGCTTTACTATCCGATGGTCGTGGGTTCGATTCCTCGCACGGTACAAACATTTGTATTCATGAGTATGATTGTTTGTATCGGTCTGGGTGTTTCTATGTATAATATGTATTTATTTACAAAAAAAATGTATCATATTTATATCATTTGTCTATTACCCATAACATAAGCTCTGCTTAGCCTGGGACTAGATGGCGCTGTGTGAATTGTCCTGAGATATTATTATTATTATACAATATAGACAAAGAGTGTAGAATGCTAATATTTTATTTAAACTTATGCATAAAAATAATAAATAAAAAGAATGTGTTACATGTGTGAATTGTCACATTCTACCAAGTATTTGCCACACGCACAGAAGTATAGTTTTTGAAAATAAAACTTTAATAATTTTCAAACTTAACTATAATTTAAATAATTAAATTTCGATCCTCGATCAGTGACCACTATTTACTGTATTTATGACCGATGTCAAAAAATTCTATTGTCGATTTCCATATATTCTTTATGTATTAATGTAATGTAATTATTTTTTTTACGTAGAGAATATTTTTACGGCATCATTTTTAGGTTTACTAATATACATATTATTATATAACTAGTATTTACATAACCTAATTGTACAACTAAGAACCTAAAATTAAAAAGCTTAAAAAAAAATTATATGATGTCTAAAATATATAATTAAAAGGGGTCCCTTTAGGCAACGTTCCGAAGATACTGGCAGCGTTCCCTCTTTGAATAGCTAGACTAATTCTTTGTCCAAGGTAGCTGCCAGTTGTTTAGGTTATACCTAGTCATATTTTAGTTGAACTTACTTTTTATTGCAGGTACTAAGTTAGTCGGCTACAATCGTATGAGATACCTGCTAGAAGCTTTGGATGACCTGGATACCCAATTTAAGAAGCATGGAGGGAGACTGTTTATGATTAAAGGCAAACCCACCGACATTATAAGGAGGTTGTGGGAGGAATTCGGTAGGTATTCTACGACACAATACCATAGACTGTATCATCATCATTACATATTATAAAATAAAGTCGCAGTCGCTGTCTGTCCGTCCCTATGTATGCTTAAATCTTTAAAACTACGCACCGGATTTTGTTGCGGTTTTTTTAATAGATAGAGTGATTCAAGGGGAAGGTTTATATGTACATATATTATCCCGGCGAGTAGCTAGTTTCTATATATTTTACAAATACTTTTTAAATACTTATGTATTTAAGAGATCGATACGACTGCTTGAGCCGAGGTATATCTAGAGGTACAAAAGTCCTATCTATCAGGCAGGAGTTGGCCTTGAGCTGCTCCATGAGCCCTTCAGCGGATTTGGAGTGCCATCTGTATTAGGGAGCTAATAGTGTCAGAGTAGTGTTATATATTAGATAATATTATAAAAATACGTATCTTTGGTTTTCCAAATACGACGATATTTGCCTTAATTTTATTCCTGTATGTGGACCAGGTATCCGCAAGTTGTGTTTCGAGCAGGACTGCGAGCCAGTGTGGCGCGCCCGCGACGACAGCGTGAAGGCAGCGTGTCGGGAGATCGGCGTGACATGCCGCGAACACGTCTCTCACACTCTATGGGAGCCTGGTACTGTCATACGCGCCAATGGTGGTATCCCGCCGCTCACGTACCAAATGTTTCTGGTAAGTAATATTATAAAGAAGTTAATTAATATCCCGCAGAAACCTTCTGTCTCAGCTATTTCTAGCCCCTCCGATCGATCCACTCTTTAAATACTTCCGCGGGTATGGAGTGCCATCTGCACTCGCCCCCTGTCGTTCGGTAAAGCAGAAAAGACTAGCTTCGCCCTACTGCATTAGAATAGTTCGAAAAAAGGGTTGCATAATGTCCGAAATTCGAACATAATTAATGAAAATTATAAGTTTGAACATTATTAAGTTTCTATTGTCAATGATAATATACTTCTATGTTAAAAACATGGTAGTGCGGGTAATGTATTTTTTATGCATAATTTAAAAAGAAATATTAGCATTCTGCACTCCTCTACATAAACAATAAGTGTGCCAAATGTCATACACCTCTGTTTGCGAAATTTTCGTAAAAAGAGATACAAAGTTTTTGCATCACGTATAACTATCTTTTACTGAATTCAGCACACCGTTGCAACCATCGGGGACCCGCCGCGGCCGGTGCCTAATCCCGAACTGTGCGGTGTCCAGTTTGGTTTTCTACCAGAATGTTTTCACGAGGAATTCACCGTTTTTGATAAGGTATAACTTAAAATATAATTGTATTTTTAATATTTGAAAGGAGTTTTAGTTTAGAAGTTAGTACCTGCCTATTAGGCTTCGACCCAGACGCCAGGGGTTATTGCCCCCGGAGTAGAAGCCGGGCAAAAGGGCTCGCTCGAAGTCTCAACCGGCACCGGAAGGCCTGTATCCGTTCAGGAGTTTCGGCAAAATTTTACGTAATTTTTATAGTGACTGTACATCATCGCAGGATGGGAGTATATGGAATATCAGCACTATTGAAGAATCTTGAATGAATGAATGAGTGAAAATACTAAAACTGTTTATTTCAGTATAGAAAGCTTCAAAGGAAGACAAGCTGGTACAATGCTAGCAATGGGACCACTACTACCCATTATTAATAATATACTCTTCCCTCCCCCAATATAATATAGTTACCTGATTACTTTTTCATAACGTTTTGACATTCACACTATTAAAAAACAATTAATATCTTCCAGACTCCAAAGCCTGAGGATCTGGGGGTGTTTTTGGAGAACGAGGACATACGCATGATACGCTGGGTGGGGGGTGAGACGACTGCGCTGAAGCAGATGGAACAGCGACTCGCAGTGGAATACCAGACGTTTTGCAGGTATTATCAAAGTGGTCTCTGTTAGTTCCACAACAGTATTTTGTAAGGTTTGAATGAGATATGGTAGGGAATTTTAGTAATATTAATATAATATTAGAATCAAAGATAAATTTGCAGTTCCTAAGTATTGTTTAGAAAAAGTCAATGAGTCTTTTATTGGTATGGTTATAAAATTTTACAATAAGATACCAAAGGATATACTGGAATTACCTTTAAATATATTTAAAACATATGTTAAGTCATATTTATTAAGCAAAGCCTATTTATTGTTCACAAAACAATTACTTAAAGACAAACATGCATGGCAATGAATCATGGAATTCATGCATGGAATCATTTAATGTTAGACAAAGACACCTACATAAGTACATAATGTAAATAAATTGGCTTTTATAGAGAATAAATATAGTTGAGCTTCATGCCAGTTCTTCTCAAGTGAATCTGTGTATTGAATTAAACGGTAGGGAAAAATTATACTAAAAACTTGACGATTATGAGTGGCTAAAATGTCATATATGAATAAATGATTTTTTATTTGATTTGAGATATTGCATGTTACAAAACCTTATCAAAATTCAATTTGTAATATCCGTGGTTCTGCTCATGTAGATGGACGACGATGACCATTTTCCATCATGTGGTCTTTCATTTGATTAATAATTTATCTATCATAAGCTTCTTATGCTTCCTTCAATCTTCTTTATTTTATTAAGGGTTTTGGGCAATAGGGAAAATATTAGGACGGCACGATGTATTTATTGAGGGAAAAATAGAAGGAAAGAGGGAGAGAGGAAGACTAAGGCACAGATACATCAAGCAAATTAAAGACAAAATTGGTATCGTGTCGTATCCATATGTAATGAGTTTGATGGAAGAATGGAAGTCCACGGTCAAGAGCATGGGTCTTAAATTATGAACGAAAGAATGGGCAACAGAAGCTTGTTTACCAATTTCATAAAAAATGTATGCGTATTTCTAGGGGTTCATACTTGCCCACACATGGGAACCCGGATCTGCTCGGGCCCCCTATATCCCTGAGTCCAGCGCTGCGATTTGGATGCTTATCAGTCAGAAGGTGAGATTGAGATTAAGAAAATTTGATAAGTAGGTATTCGATTAAGTACCAGTACGTAAGAGTTTCAGTAACATTATTCCTTCAATATTTATTACTGTAAATTCATAATTTGCACGTAGAAATAAACTGCATTAACTAAAAAATATCAAAACATAGATTTCTTCGAGCTTTAGCATTTTATTGAAAAAGGTGTGATATGTAAAATATTGTTTTTGACCTAAGGAAAGGCAAAACAGCTTTTATAATCACTCATAACAAAAATATTGTTATGGAATGGTGCACCGTCCTGCGCTCAACGAACTGCAATATTTAACAATATTTTTTTATTCCAGGTTTTATTGGAGTGTTCAGGATTTATTTCATAAAGTACACCAAGGACGCCTAGCAGCAACCCACTTTATTACAGGTAAATGTTGAAATATATACAAAATAATATACTCAAATAATATACTGCATTCATCCATAATTTCGTCTCGTCGTTATTAGATAAGAAATAGTTTATGTTCGTTTTTATCACTATCCTTAGTTCTCTATGATCCAATTCGACTAGCTACTTTCAGTTAAAAGAAACTGGCAAAAACTCAACTGGTATTTTTTTAATTAATTTCCAAAATATGACAACATTTATAATTTCAATGAAATTTACGCAGGTCAATTAATATGGCGAGAATATTTCTACACGATGAGCGTGAACAACCCTAACTACGGACAAATGGCTGGCAACCCTATTTGTTTGGACATCCCGTGGAAGAACCCTGAGGGCGACGAATTGCAGAGGTAATTTTTAATGGAGTGCTGTTTCAACCTGCTTTAATGTGTACTAGTGGGAGACTGTATAAATTATACTTGACGGTGATCTAGCGGTTGAGCACACTGCTTTACTTCCGATGGTCGCGGGTTCGATTCCTAGCACGATGCAAACATTTGTATTCATGAGTATGATTGTTTTTATCGGTCTGGGTGTTTTCTATACATATTATGTATGTATTTACAAAAAAATATCTAAGTATTTATATCAGTCGTCTGGTACCTATAACACAAGCTCTTCTTACCGTAGAACTAGATGGCACTGTGTTAATTGTCCAGGATTATTTATTAGTTATTTATTTCAGTTGTTTAGTACCACGGTATCACGACAGTCGATAATGCCTCGTGACAATCATCATCTGAGATAGTCAGTAACGGTATGTTTTTTAATAAATCATATTTGAATTTTGTATAACTCCTCAGATGGATCGAGGGTCGGACTGGATTTCCATTCGTGGATGCGGCAATGCGCCAGCTCCGCACAGAAGGTTGGCTGCACCATGCCGTACGCAATACTGTCGCCTCCTTCCTCACCAGAGGAACACTGTGGCTATCATGGGAACACGGACTGAACCACTTCCTCAAGTACCTGCTGGATGCCGACTGGTAAGTTGATAGATACTAGTTAGATAGATAAAAAACATATTTGCCTTAAAGGGCACACATAAAAGGTAGAGTAATTTCTTGCTATTATGACGTATATTTATTAGAATATAGATACATTTATTTTTATACGAAGACTCGCCAAATTGCAGAACAGTTTGTTGGCAAGATTTAGCTCAGTTTTCTTAATACTTACCTACCTAGATACATTAGACATTCACATCTAGGTATATACATACATATATAGATGTATCGTACGTATAACTTATTTTATATTAAGTTTTTTACTCTTTCACGCAAAAACTAGTGAATGGATTCTAATGAAACTTTACCAAATATAGCTTACATTGGGATAATACATAGGCTATCAATTTCACACGGACGAAACTAGTGTTTCAGGTGTGTAGGTTTTCCCACGAGACTACAGCATGGGGTTTTTCAAGAAGGGTATAGGTAAGGTTTCTTAAGGGTCGGCAACGCGCACGTGATACTGGTGGTTCATAGGCTACGGTAACTGTTTACCATCAGATGGGCCGTATGCTTGATTGCCACCATCATAGCATAAAAAAATACTACAATAACCGTTTACCATCAGATTGACCGTGTAATTTTTTACTACCATCGTAGCATAAAAAAAATATAGTATAATTTTTCTATTACGTTTTTTTTATATAAAAAATAAAAACTTAAATAACCAGAAAGAAAACTTAAAAAAAATGTTATATTATATAAGGTTGTTGTTATTATATAAGGTCGGTGTGCGCGGGTAACTGGATGTGGGTCTCCTCGAGTGCGTTCGAGGCGCTGCTTGACTCTGGGGATTGCGCGTGCCCCGTGAGACTCGGACAGAGGCTCGACCCCAGCGGGGAGTATGTGCGCCGCTACGTGTCCGAACTCGGCCGCATGCCCGTACAATACATGTGAGTCCCCTAGCCATATATATATATTTCATTGAATTAAGTACCTAATAATAAATGAGAATAAAGAGATGTTTATAGACGTTTATTATAGCAGGGCACATCGACAGAAGTTTTTTTTGCGTACTACTCTAATGCTGTTGGCCGCAGCTGGCCCTTACAGCTTTACCGAACGATAGGGGGCGAGTGGCAGATGGCGGTCCAAACCCGCCGAAGAACTTATGGAGCGGCAGAAGGCCAACTCCCGCCTGACGGAAACGACTTTAATCTGAGGGCACCTATAGGGGGTTCGAACCTCGGGCAGGCCGTTATAATTTCGATCGGGGGATATCGGAGGGGCGACGACAGAAGTGTATATAAACCAATTATATAAAAAGAATATTCATATTTGAAACATGGATAATAGAATATATAAAACTATCAGTCATTCTCATTGATCTAACAAATTAGATGTTATGTCGCGGAAGTTTCATTAGCTGTCTTTACATGTACGCTCTTTCACGCGCGAATAGGCTTTTATGCAGGAAAGAATAAGCATATAAACCACACACATATTGCGACACCAGCCTACAACACGATAAGTCGCAACTTGATCGTCGAACAGTCATCACTATACTTTTAGACTATCCGAGCACTATTAATTGCTTGATGATTTTTCGTTCAGAGGCGACACGTATCGCAATATAGGTGTAGATTCAATAAAAAGATATGTGCACATCTATACTAATATTTTAAATTTGAGTTGTCTAATCTCAGGAACTACTGGTTCGAATTGAAAAAATATTTTTGTGTTGATTAGTCTATTTAACAAGGAAGGCTTTAAGCTATATAACATTACACTACAACCAAAAGAAGCGAATCAGTGAAAACTGTTGCAAAAACTGGTAAAATGATTCATATTTGAGAGTTTCCTTTAGGTGTGTTTTGCGCGAACGAAGTCACTGGCACAGCTAGTAGGGATATACATACATATATTTTTATAAACTACTAACTTCTTATATATACAGATATGAACCATGGAAGGCTCCCATAGACGTGCAAGAGCGCGCCGACTGCGTTATAGGAAAGAATTATCCTGCCCCAGTAGTTAACCATCTAGTAGCTGCTCAGAAAAATAGAAACGCTATGAATGTAAGTAATCCTATGCATATTACAGATTTATATGTAAGGCTCATCGTCCATTAAAACGAAGGTTACGCATGGGCGCAGCCAGCCATGGGCTCAGGGTGGGGCAGCAGTCTAAAATATTATATAACTAGCAAACTATACCCACGGTTTTACCCCGATTATATTTTTTATACAAAACGGTGCACCCTATAGCACCATGTAACTGTTATTTTTTGTGTCGACTGTCGAGTATGAAGTTTCTTCTTTTATATTAAATATCGTAGTTAGTACTTAGATAATTTATTTTTTAGGTTTGGTCTGTCTATCTGTCTCTGGTCTGTAACATTCCTAACCTTACAGATCAGAGACAGATGGCTAGTGCCCCACTCCGCCCCACCGTAGCTACGGCCATGTTGATAAATAGCATGGTCAACTGTGGTCACATGTATTTTCGTTTTGTGGTCGATGGGCTTTATACGTTTGCCTTTCCGGACAAGGATTTCATTTGGTTGTTAATAGAGAACAAAATTTCTCTTATGTTAATTGCTAATCTTTCTTTTGCGTTTTCATGATTATTTAAAAAACGTCGACCATTCTTCCTTGTCTGCGTAGGCCTAATACTAATCAGTCTCTATAATATTCTTTAATCAGCAACAAACGTAACCAATGTCTTCAAATAATTGTTTACTTTTATTGCAGACTCCATTCAAGGCTAAGAATAATAATTAAAGTACTATTAATTTAAATCGGACTAAAATTGCAATTAAAGGCTATATAGGTTTTGAGGTTACTAATTAATATAATATAGACTTTTGGTAACTAATAAGTTACGCAATTTCGAAATTTCAAAGCTCCCCACACTAGTTAATTTGAGATCGATTTCTTGTTGTCCCACCTTAGTGGTTCTATCACTAGATTTGATAAATTGAACTCCAACTTCGGTGGGCGATTAGTACGGTTTCTATGACTTTCGTTATTGTTCTTACACGTATATTTTATATGAGCACATTAATTTAGTATGTATTGTTTTTATTAATATTTCACGGTTGTGGATACTAGTCCTTTGAAAGCCGATATTTGCCAAGTGCACTAGACTATCTTAAATTAGTAATAGTTAGTTTGTCATATTTGGTTACTAATAATTAAACTTACCGAGACAATCGGTAATGGGTAGGAATAAAAACCAAGCAAGTTGGTTGGAAATGTATTTAAAGAGAGTTTGTAATAAAATTACCAAACATATATTGATTTAGTACAATATGATTCTTATATCATTTATTTGAACGAAGATTTAGGTGTCTTTAATACCCTGATACTACTATTTATAATTACATAAATGAATAAAATAGTTTTCACATTTATGGGGAATGAATCGGTGGGGAATGAATCATGACTGGCGGTGAGGTTAAACGAAAGTGGTTCGCTTCAAGAGCCGAGTAGAGCCGAAATGTAAATTTCTCACAGAGGGGGTGATAGAGAGGGGATTTAGTAAAGGTTATACAACATAATTCATCACAACACAGCTAATTTAACAGATATTTCGGGGGGGTGATTGACCACCCAAATCAGCCCCCCCGTCTACGAGCTTGCCCATGAGTGTCACTTGCTCTTCCCCAGAAATTAAAACGTTCAATACACGGACGCCTACAGCGGGACAAGTGGCTCATGATCGTTGGGGTTTGTACATAGCCGGAGTGTACTCTGATGCGGGCCCACATGAGCACGGATCATAGTATACCAACCGTCATTTGACAAATATACGTAAGAATGAATTGGACCATTGTACGTTATGGATAGTTTATTTAAATAATTCAGTGGTTAAATTGGTCTATAAATTCAAGTACTCAGTTTCATAACAATGAAGACCAATATCTATTTTTTTAATAAAATCGGTGCATAGACAACATAACCTCGATGGTTATGGCAATTTCATAATGCAATTAAATTTAAACTTTGTAGCACTATATATAAAGTTGAATATTGGTCTGACTTCAATGTATTGCAATAAATTCTATTTTATATAAAAACCACCTATTTATTTAACATATCCTGACTGTCTGTATAAAGTATTTTAATACTTATATTTACTGTGAAATGTTTAATTTTGTTATGCGTGGGACACGGACATTGAAATTTGTTTTTAAATTGACAATGGTCCTTTTCTTTTCTTGGTAAAATAACAAAAATTAGGTACTTTTGCATATTATTGTAAGAACATTAAAGTGCGTTCGGGTAATTAATAAGAAATTTTTATAGTTGACATTAATGATTTAGTAATTAACACATTGTATATTACATGAAGTTGGTACGACTCTATCTTCACCTCATTTCTATTAGGTAGTAATATCATCGTATGAGTATGTTATAATACGGGTTTTTTTTATAAATTCTTTGTAAAGTTAAATGAAATATGCAACTTATACTACTTATAACATTACTAATTATGAGCGCAATTACTAACTTTTCGAGAATGCGCTCATCTAAAGGCGATATCAAACAAATGAATTTGTTAGTCGTATAAATATTTCGATGTTATATTACCCGAATGCATTTATATTATTTCAAAAATGTATTACCCAAATTTGTTGTTACATACATTGTGTGTGGCCAATATAAGATCACACAGAAAACTTATTATGGTAGAAATATTTGTTATTTTAAATATGAAAATTACGAATTAAATTGTACATATTTTTTACTAAAGATCGCAGTACATTAGCATTTTGATTTTATATATTAAAGTGTTAGAAGTCTTGTATCTCAAAGAGAACACGAATAATTTCGATAAGATAAAAATTGAACATAACTTTACACATAACAATGGTTGAATTGCTGACTTTCTATTATGAAGTAGGTTAGAATAGCAATAGTTTATTCAATATAAATATAATTAAATAAATTAATGTGTTAAATTCTTAGCATACTGTAGGCTGAATTGGACTCCACTCAATTCACTTGAAGTGGATCATCCATTTTGAGGAATATTAAAATTATTACTTAAATGAACAATACAATGACAAATTTTAGTACCTACTAGAATTAAAAGTACAGCATTAATCAAAGTGACAATTCTTTAGGAGCTTCGTAATATACTTCAAAAAGCACCACCTCATTGCTGCCCCTCATCTGAAGAAGAGATCCGCCAGTTCATGTGGCTGAATGAGGAGAACCAACATGCCCACAACACAGCATGAGTCCATTAACGTCTTACGGGTAACGAAATAGAGTCTAAATTTGTTAAGCATAATGTAATATAAAAACATGTGAGTGCACACGTGACTGGGACTTTATAGAGCACGTGTAGATGCATCATACCACATTTATGAGTTTCAATGGCATAAGCGTGATAGAAGGGATGTGTTGTTCAATTTTGAATCCTATGTGTATGAGTGTATAGTTGTTTATCTGTGTTAAATGTGGTAGTGGTAGTATTAGTATGCGATAAAATATGTATTTAACGTACTTATGTAAGTTTTTATATTTTGCATTTGATGACGAAACTGTACGTTATCTACGAACTTCAGGACCAAGCTGAATAACTAAGCAAAATTAAGGGAATAAGGGTTGTTTAGAATAAAAAGAAACATGACATTTTCAATTTTGCATCTTATGACGAAAATATAGGTTATCCACGAACTTCATGACCAAACCGAATACCTAAGCAAACTTAAGGAAATAAGGGTTGTTTATAAATTAAATAAACACTACATTATTTATATGAGAAGGTGTTATCTTATCCAGGACTATTAATATGTCAATAGCTACCTATACACGAAACGTTATTTCATGTGCGACCAAAAGCGTAATCGTGATTGATTACATTTTTACTAATTTTTGTCTTCACTCTTTCACGCGTGATAGCGCGTATGCTTTATTTCATTTCACTTTTTTGTAAAATTTTAGTTTTTATTCTACGTATTTTATTTTCCCTGGACACGTTTAAGATTAATTAAATTATTAATAATTCTACAACAGTTTTTGTTTCATAGCAAAGATTAAAGTAAATATACCAAAAAGCTCGTCAGATATCCGCCATTTTGCTATACAAAAATGGCGCTAAAGCATGCACAATTGAAGTACGCGGGAATAAGTGAGCTGGCGGTTGGCATGGTCTTCTTTGTTCTCTTTGCCTACTAACTAACTAAACTTATTAGCGAAAGAGCGTACGTGTAAAGGCAGTTAATGGTGATACCACTTACGCTAAAGATGGTTGCTGGTGGTGCATGCAGAGCACTAATAATATATTTGGGTACATAATAGGATAAGGATGAAGTCAGTGATGAATTAACTAGATATTCATCATGAGGTATTTGGGTTACAATCTCCAGTGATCACCGCTGATAACTGCTTGGAGGCTGACCCGTACATTGATAAAAATGGGAACTAGACCCCAATACAATGAGTTCCTCTCTTATAGAATTATTGTAGGAGCTCTATACACGAGGTAGATGTGTTCACATAAGTAGGTACTTACTATTTAGATACCATAGATAAGTAATTGTCCTAATTAATATAGTGATAATTGACCAAAATGTTAAATAAACTGGCGGAAGAAAAATCCATAGATAAATTGTATAGATAAGTTAGATAAATTGAGCTAAGTATAGCGCGGATGACAGGTGGCATTTTTTGATAGTTTTTAATGTAGAAACAGTATTTTGAGTGAGTCATTAGTCAATATAATCATTATTGATATTTTCTCACAGTTCATAAATTGTTTCTTTGAATATCTATTTAGATATTCATATAGCTAAAGCTATTCCATGTTATACTTTGTTAAATATAGCATATTTTAATGCCTGATATTGCGGAATAGAATTTAATTCAATACAGTAAATATAACAAAACAAACTATCGTTTTGCCAATCGCAGACTGAATGCATAGCATTTTTATTCTTCTGGTAGAGTAGATTTGGTATTTTACTTTTTTTTACAAAGACGTAAATTAATGTTCTATTCTTCTTAAATGCGTGTTAAAGTGACGTTTAAAAATTGCAACCAAAGAGTAAAGTAAATATACAGATTGCAACTAATTGTCTATGCTTCCTAGTAATTTAACCTTTTCCAAACTTATTTGTTCTTTTTTTTCTTGTCTATATGCGATCAACCAATTAGGCTTTATTTGAGATTTGATTGCCTTTCTCTGTCGTTTTGCGTTAATATATATCAGTATAGAAAATAATGACAATATCTTATTAATGAATGAGTTTCCACAGATGAAGTGTAATGGTCCTCTTTTTGTATACTTTATTTATTGAACTGTCAATCCTTGACAAGACCTTTTGCAAACTAACAGCTGTTTTACTTGTTTACTTACATTGAATTTGTAGTAATTGAAGTAAAAATTACTGTAGGTATTGTATAGTATATAATTAAATTTATTTAATTAACCAAGACGTTTTACATATTATTACATATCAACAAGGTTATTATATTCTTATTTATATATTTTCTTAAGCCGGGGCTGGGATCTCCTTGTAAGCATAATTAAATACTTGTGATAGGAGATCACGCTCTTCTATAGACTAGGTATATAGAAGTATAAATTATTTTATAATATAAAAATGTTGATGTTACGTTGGTGTACTATATTAAGAACTATGAATAATATGTTAAATTATACAAAACAAGTTAAAGTTCCTAATGGTACTACATTCTCATACAATTCATTAAAAATAAATTAAGAGTAGGAAATCTCGGAGCAAAAACGAGGCGCTTGATTCGTTGTAACAGCCTTTAGACTATTAGAGCAAATTGACGGCCTCGGTGGTCTAGTGGTTTAGCATACCGCTTTACTTCCGACGGTCGCGGGTTCGATTCCTCGCACGGTACAAACATTTGTATTCATGAGTATTTTTGTAAGTAGGAGAATTGTTTAATGAAGGTCCATAAGACATAGATATTATTTTTATTTAATTTGTAAGTAAATAAATACTTATGGTCTCATAAGCAGAGGTCATAAGAGACTATCTGTATTATGTTATTTAAAATTAGACAATATTTATGTAAATAAGATATGTTGGATGTACTTTTTACGAAAGACCTTTTGGAAATCTCATATTATTAACTATCAGGGTATTTGTACAACCAAATTTTTATTTAATATAGGAAATAATTTTTTTAATAATATTTATAATCGCATTTTATTGTTTTATATGTGCCAATAGTGAATAAATGGTATTACTGATGGTATGGAAATAGTTTTATTTATTTAGTTTATATATATGTTTAGAATTTTGCTGTAGTTCTTTGGTTCCATAATTAATCTGTTTGTTTTATACATAGTCATTGAGCTAAAAAGCTGTGTCAAGATTTTTTTATCCACTATGCTATTTATCTATCTTCCTGCTATATACCTCACGGTGTAGGCAGTGATAATTGAGTACAATTAGCGAGATTAAGTAACTAAATTATCTCATTTTGTAAGAAGAAAAGGTAAATGGTAAATGGTACATTCTCTCACAACTCTTGCTTTATAAAATTTCTTAGCCAGTTTCATACTTGAAAAGATAGAAGATTACAACGGGAAACATATGATATGTATCTTTAAATAATCTGTTTCTTTGTATACTTCACACAATGCGCACGTGACACCCCTGGTGCTTCGGGCATCCATAGGCTAACCATTTACCATCTGGTGGGCCGTATGCTTGTTTGCCAACATCATAGTATTGAAAAAAAAGAAATATATATAAATTTTAATAATAACTAAAATATTTTATAATACAAATTTTATTAATATTTACAATACAGTTGTACTTATATGTATGTACTTATATTCTATACACCATTTGTATGTTCTGATAATTGTGTTACAAGTTCATTAAATACTTTACTAGTCCTTGAGTCTGGCAACTCTTTGATGGCTGCAACACCACGGCCGGCCAGCTTACCGACCCTGGGGTCTATTGGTACACTGCCGAGGAATGGAATCTTTGTGAGGTCAGCGAGTGATTTCCCTCCACCGCTGGAGAATATGTTTGTGCATTCACTGCAGACGGGACATTCATAACTGCAATTGAAAAATAAATAATATATTGGAGACTGTTCATGCCGTAAAGACCGCGGAGAAGGCGGCACACATCAGTGCGAATATATAGTTTTTTATTGGGTTGTTTGGGCTTTGGCAGGTGCTTGGACCTGTAGTACTAGAACATACATAGATCTTTTGTGATCGTCCTTTTTCAGAGTTCGCTACCCAGACCCGTCAGGGACAAGAATTGAAGGATATTCTTATGGTTTTTATCTCCTTAGAATAGCGTAAACTTTCCAAAAGAGATATTACGTTTATACATGAGTGAGCTACATCTACATAGGATGTGTAGTGGCATATCCTCAGTTTGGCAAAATCTGCAGATTTTTGTTGTGCATAAGTGTGAACATAGCAACGAGCGCGGTGCATCAATTCAATCTATAACGGCTCTTAAGAATGAAATTATATACATTTGCAATAGAATTAATAGAAGACCCTATGACCTTTTACGCGTATTATCATATATATGTATGTGTAAACTAATTATAATAAACAGTTTTGAATCAAAGTTTTTGGAATATGCAAAACAAAGTTTTTACAAATTGCCTTTCAGAAAGTTTCCTTCACAAATTCCGGCTTTTTTTTAATACCAAATCTGTACAGATTGTTCACTGAATCTTTTATACTATGATTATGGATGTAGACAGACAACCAGGCAAGTACTTTTAAAGAAAGGACTCTCCTTTCCTTGCCAGATGCATATGTCATTGTATCAATATGAAAACACGCAAACTTGATTAAAAATGTGCCTGATACGCAGTAACTCCCTTACCCTGACGCCTGATGGTAAGTGATGTACACTTATAAACCAGAGGATTGCAGATATGTTACTAGCATTACAGGAGGATATATATTATTTTTTAGATATATTCATTACTTGGAATTACTTCTACGCAAAGTAGATGTTGTAAGATTGTAGGATTATTTAAATACAGCTTACGAGCATGTGTTGCTCATCCGTGATCTAAATCCAACTTACCCACTCATATTCTCAATGATACCCGTGATGGGTATGCCTGTCTTTCTACAAAATGTGATTTCTTTCCTCACATCTTCAATGGCAACTTCTTGCGGTGTTGTCACTATTATTGCCGAACAATGAGGCACTTGTCGTAAATTCTCCATTACTGTGATATGTTCATCTGATGTGCCTGTAATAATTCATATAAATGAAATTAAACTCATTTACTGATAACATACCTACATATAGTCTGTTTCTTAGGTTATTGAAATGGTAAACAAACTGACAATCCACCTTATTGTAAATTCAATAATTTAGTAAATAATCTGCCCATAGTTTGACTTTTAAATATGATTGAATCTCAAGCAAAAGTTATCATAAATAACTTACTATTTTATGGATACTTTTTTTTAATTACAATTATCTCTCGTTCCCACTTCAACCACATATAAATTAAAGTTGTAACTGTCACTATACATATGAACAGCACAACAGACATCACATTAACATGTGACAGTTCTGATATGAGTCAAGCATTGCCATTCTGGAGGTCTTATTTCACTCTATAACCAGAACATGTTTTACAATTCAAGTTACTTGGTAAACTTGGTGAGGCAGATATACCCACACAAACATAAGTTTTAAAGTCTACTTGGTAATCTTTGTATATGTAAGTTTACCACTGATATGAGGAACAAGAATGTTCACTAGTATTAAGTTGATGGCATGGTCTATAATATGGTGGTTATAAAACTTCTAGAATATGTTTGACAGTTCTTGGGAGTATGCTCTGAGTTTAAACATATTTTAGTAAATCTTGCATCTGCACCTATACTAAAAAAAACTATTAAATGGATTTTCATCTATCTACAGAGTGAATATGATTAAGGTTCCTTACGGATTTTAGTATATTATTTAAAATACCCCTGCAAAGATCAATTCTACCTGGACATGCAATATTAAGTTTATTACCAGGAGGTGTATCGATGATGAGAAAATCCAATTCTTGCCAGTATACATCTTCTAGAAACTGCTTGATCATTGAAGTTTTTTTTGGTCCCCTCCATACTACTGCATCATTTCGTGACTTCAATAAAAAGCCTATAGACATAACTCCTAACTTCTGTTCATTGTCAAGATACACTGGTATCCAACCTTCAGTACCTTGGTGTATGTTTTGGTCTTCCAAATTTAAAATATATGGAACACTGGGTCCACATAAATCTATATCCAGTAGACCAACCTGTAAAAAGAAAACAGATCTATGTTATTTTATCTGTATTTTATTATTCATCAATAATCTGTATCATTTACAAATTGAATCATATGATGTAAGTACAACAGAAGTTAATTTTAAATTCTAACCAAATAAAGTTTTGTAAATGTATTCCACACAGTATTTAAATTTTAGATACTGAAATAGGCATTCTTGTGAACATTCATAAATATAGAGAACTGAAGAAAATAAATGCTTAATCAATAACCTTAAATCCTTTTTCTTTAAGTGTAAGTGCCAGTTGGGTGCTAACTGTTGATTTACCAACACCACCTTTTCCTGATAAAATTAGAATTACACGTTTAACTTGTTCTAACATTGTTATACTTTATTATATGTCTGAAATATTTTAAATAGAATATCAATACAAATATAACATGAAAATATTATTTATTTTGTTTTAGACAAAGTTGACAAAATGAATCTTTCAATAACTCATGACATAAGTCATTAGAATTGTATGTATGTCAGTCAAATGTCAAATGATAGCTAAAAACAAGAGTTCTCGTTCTTAGGGAAAAAGGAACTGTGTATAAGTATGTTTTGACATTTAAATTTATTTCTATTGTTAACTATTTCAATAGATATATAGGTAAATAACATAGAATATAAATTTGTCTATCATTAGTACTTTTTTGTATAAATTTTTTGACATTCTTTGAAACTTACTAACGCTTTTTTGCAGCCACATTCATTTTAGTGCAGTGCATAAGTAGTTGCTAACTCACCGAAAATATTTTTCTGGATCTGAATATTATTTTGTCAACAAAACGATAATATCAATGTGCAAAGTCGATAATTTGAACTCAAATTGACAACACTGTGGCGCTTGCGCTAAAACTGCTGAACTAAAAGTAATCAGTAGCGCCATCAAGCGTTCATTTTTGGCTTTTCTTCAGTTGAATAAAGATTTTTATAATGGTGGTTGTGTCTCACGTGTAAACTTTTATTGAGGAAATGCTAGATATATTTCAATTTCAGTTTAGCTTATTGGACGTTTTATGACATAATAGATTTGCGTTAAAAATTTGTGTGTATTCCTCACCCGAAATAGTGGACCGGTAGTGTCAGTGTAATATAATTCTGTAATATTTTAGTTTGTGCTTGTGTAAGGATTTGCCCTGACTCTTCGGCTCGTGAATTCCTCAATTTTACCACATCAACTTGGACTCATAAGGTATTTAATAGAAATATTACGTTTTATTGTATTTAACATTTTAGTTTTAATTGTAAACACCTAATAAATTGGTACACCGTGTCTATTAGAAGTGTATGCGGGTCGTTCTGACTAGCCCTCCCCTCTTCGCGAGGGTGATGTCGATTAGGCTTGCGTGAAAAAAGCCTCCTACTGAGTATAGTTAATTAATTATTCCGTGTTATTCAATTCTTGTTCAAAATCTTAATGTTACTGAGTATTTAATATCCATGGTTTTATATTTGTCCATCATAGAAATTCATTAATTATTGCCACGAACATGTCACATGATATTATTGTTATTATAGATGGTTAACATTATAATTATTTATCACTTTTCATAGGTAATTATTAATATCTGTAGATAAAAAATGAATGCTGATTAGTTATACCTAATCACTATTTATAATACTGGTACCATTAATTTTCTCCAAATTTTTTTTTATTTTCGTGTTCTATCTCTTTTTTTAAAGATTGAACAGGCAATGATCTTATCACTACACAGCCTAGTCTTGTTTTCCAAAAGCATGATGTGATTTTAGATTAAATATAAATATCTTAATTAGTAATTAATTAAAATTAATAGGTACCTAATTATGAAATAATTATTTTTAATGCAATAGTAATTAAAAAAAAGACAATCCTATTGATTTTGTATAAGTTTATATGTACATTTTTTTTTCCAATAGGAAAGAGAAGTGGCACAAGTTAAAGCACAGAATATCAATAAGTAACAAAAATAGGGAGAAAACTGATGATCCATTAAAAAAAGAAAAGATTCAAAACTTGAGAAGAGAGAAATTGGTATCTTTGAGTATTTCCAAATTGTTTATTGTTATTTTTTGTAATTTGTGATGATAAACCTTTGTTCAAGTTATTTGTAATAAAATCACTTTTAATACATTTTTGAATGTATGTTCTCGATTCTTTTTTAATATTTTGCTATAAATGAATTATAAATAAAAAATAGAAATACTAAAATATATTACTATCCATTCAGCTACTCTTATTTAAGATTAGAATAATCATATAAATTGTTAGCTTTTTTATAAGAGTAAATTTATCAGTATGAAAAACATTAAGACAACCTATTTAATCAATGAAATAATTTTTTATTGATGGCTAATTAAGAACCATCACATTTAAGTGATGAAAACCCATCACTTAAATGTGATGGTTCTTAATTCTATTTATTTTTTCATATATGCATGAACATGCAACAAAATAGCACTATTTTTACTAGTTGTGGTCATACTTGAAGATCCTTTTTTTAATTGATAGTGTTTTCTCATGTTAGTCCTATCATAGTTTTACTAAACATTCATAGATTTATGTTTTATATATAGTTAGTAGAGGTTTTTCTTGGATGATGATGAAATGGTTCCCCTATTAATGTGAATGAATTAATAAGGATACATAGACAGGACACCACCAAAAGATGATAGAATGTCATTTATTCCGAAGTGATAAATTGTTACCACATTGGAAAAATCTGGTCAATACTGGAAATTGAAAGTGTATGCTATTGAAGACAGTTCATGGGAGATCTCCAAGTCATAGTACATTGCTGGCAATGGGGGTTACTGACTCCAATTGTTGTATACACATAATAAATAAATTATCCTTCTCTGGTGGGGTTAGGTGGGAACTACCGATGTGTTTCTAGACTGTCTGGCTCCCCATATATTGTAAGATCAAGAATGCTGTGAGAATATAAAGTCCATTCAGCCATTCCGTCTTTAAATGCAGCAAGTAAACATAATAATGTACTATAGTAAGCTAGGTATGTATTATGTCTATATTGATATGCAAATTTTTCAATACTTGGTATGTAAAACGAGTTTGCTTTGTATCGCGCGCGCAGAATATTTATCACACGTTTTAAACTGTGCCAGATAAATAATGCTGTTGAATTTACTGAAACATTCTGTACTTACATTAGGTATTTATTTACCTCTTATAAATATCAATAAAAGGATTGATTCATATGTTGTAAAATTAATAAAGACAAAACGAAACTATTTTAATAAATTTTATTGTAAAAAAACATGACTGAATGAATATTCTTAGAGGAGAGAGGGGAGAGGCGACTTGTTACATTGTATGTAATGTCATCCAGAAATAAAAAAAAGTTCACAAAAGTCAATTTAATATTTTTCAATATTTGCATTTTTGAGAAGTATGTAGTGAAAATTTATTCATAAATTTCCATATACTGTAATCTCTTACAAAGTACTGCTCAGGAGATATCTTGATACCTCGTAACGTTGGTGTGACTGATCCAGGCTGCCAGTCATGATTGCCAGCGAACTTAAAATATCATACCACCCTTATGAAATAATTAAAGACGACACCTAAATTTTGAATATAAATAGTATTATTTCAAACCCCATTTCGCAGTAATTGCCACGAGATCCAAGGCCGTGCACCCCCAGGTTAGTTCTATAAATAAGGGTGCACCCTTGGTCACCCCTAGTGAGTCATGCTGAATGATGTGAGGGCGTCGAATAATATCGTCCGATACTTTATGTGGAAATGTCACGGGGATTATATTACGGGGTATTAAAACCAACATGGCGTCAAGATGGGATGGGTGGCGGGGTTACGATATAAGCATGGTACATGGGCATTATGCATACATTTCCATATGATCTATATAATATGTCAACCACTATTATGTTATGGTTATAGCAAAGTCGTTGTCAGTATCCTGGATTGCCATTGTCGTATAAACTACTATGAGAACTCTGAATATAATAGGAATGTGCCATCGACGGTCAAACTAGGCAGTTTCTACTAGTAACTGATATTAAAATGATTTTATAATTCTAGTACTAATATTATAAAGCTGAAAAATTTGGTTGAAAGCGCAAATCTCGACAACTACGGATTCGAATATAAAAAATTGTATTGGATAGCCCGTTTATCGATTAAATCTATAGGCAAGAGTAATAAGTGTGGGGTATCAACGAAAATGTTGCAAAAATGGGGAAAATTTATTCCTTTCTCTCATGTGTAACGCAGAAGATGACTATTACATTATTAAACATAGATCTCTAAAATAAGAAACATTCCAATACACTTTTAGTCACAATTATGAACATAAATCTTACTATTGTCCGGAAATTGAATCTGATACAAACGGAAAATAATACAGTATGTACCGCTACGCCACCAAGGATACGAAACGGTTATTTAATTGTTCCACAGAAATAAGTTAAAAACAAGTGGTGGGGATATATTTCACGTTCCACTTTATACATGGTGATTACAGATACAGTTTCATCATAAGCCAACTTGGCATTTCAAGTTACGCAACACCGAGCTTCGGCTGTATGCCACCGCTAAATGCTTGGGAGCGTTTTAATTCAGTAGCTAAATTGGGTTATTTACTGCTATTAAACAAATATGCTATGCGAAATAGAGAACATTGATTTTATTAATCTGTTTTCTGTACCATTTTTTTTAGTTTTTACAATGGTAATATTTGATCAAGGTCGTCCGCCTGAAAGAAAAAAATTGGCAGTGAAATTATGATTGTTTAGTACCAAGGGTTCTTAGGAATGGCAACACATGTCCTACGGGCGTCTTTAGTGTAGAAATGTGACGGTTCCCACATACCACCAGGTAGCCCTCAGCATGTTTCTCAGTTTTGTTAAAAAAAAGTACAGTTAGATAAAAATCATCAAATTATATATCATAGCAAATTGTATGGTATTTCAAAGTCGAAAAATGTGTATTATAGTAGACATCGTCATCTAGTCATTTATTTGAACAATATCCATCTTCTAAGGACCTCAAAACGGTCGCATTTAAACAAGGAAAGTGTACGGTTTTGAAATTAAAAAAATAGACAAATTTCCGGAACCATAGAGATCTCCGAAAATAAACGACCCCATACATTATCAGCTCCATTCTCTTCTCAGCTAATTCAGTAGATGTTTTTCTGCGGAAGAAAAAACGTTAACCTAATTCTGAACCGCTCATTAGTATGGCGGTAGTTCGTCTCGAGAGCTCTGAATTAAGTTAATAATGGAGTTTTAAGAAACAATAGCATTCATTTCCAATAACCGGACAAGTAAAGTCAATCACATTGAGGGAGTAACTGTACATTACAGTTTTAGTACAGACAAGATTAGTTGTAAAGTATAATATACCACATAGAAAACCAGATATAGTGTTTATGGAACTATACAACTTACTTAAAGAAACAAGCTTATTTTTCTTCTGTGTGCATCTTTCAAGAACTAAGATTACGAGCAGGTACTTTAATAATTTCGTCGCAGGTAGATTCTCAGTAGAATCGTCGCCTCTTTAATGGGTCTTGATTAGTCATTGGGATCCAATTAAACTACGTCTTTTAGGCGATTTATGTTGTCGGGGACTGTCAATTGATTAGCTATATTGGTATGATTTATTAGCCGTTCTTTGTATTTGGCGTAGTAAAGCTGAAAATGGAAATATTTTTAAAAACTACGCAGTTTGTGTGAAGGAGTGCGGCGTAGTCATATGAAAAATTCGAAATTTAATTTCAGTTTTCCACTTTGCTTCTTGGTGAGTGTGTTTCTTTTTCATGAGTATTCTTCATGGCTATTGAACAAGTATATCTTTTAGTTAAAAAAAAGTTTTTAAATAAATTTAAATATTCAAATAAAAAATATCAAAATTACATTAAAACCCATATCAGCTGCGTATGTTTACGTAAATAAATAATCCTGTACAATTAACACAGTGCCATCTAGTCCCACGGTAAGCAGAGAGCTTGTGTTATGGGTACCAGACAACTGATATAAATACTTACATATATTTGTAAATATATACATAGAAAACACCCAGACCGATAAAAACAATCATACTCATGAATACAAATGCTTGCACCATGCGAGGAATCGAACCTGCGACCATCGGAAGACGGTGTGCTAAACTGCTAGACCATCGTGACCGACCGATTTATATTACTTAGCCGATATGGTTAGTAGTTA